TGCTGCCCAGTGTGATTTCTCTCCACCTGCTGCCCTGTGTGATCTCTCTCCACCTGCTGCCCTGTGTGATCTCTCTCTCTCTCCACCTGCTGCCCTGTGTGATCTCTCTCTCCCTCCACCTGCTGCCAAGTGTGATCTCTTTCTCTAATGAGAGCTCTCTTTTCTCCTCAGATGCACTGATGCAAGTGGCTGAGAAGCTAGAGGGCCCGTTCAACATGGAACTGGCCACCGACTCTATTGCTATCAAGATCTCTGAGGCCATCATGTTTATGCAGGAGAACAGCGTGCAGACCTCCACCAAGGTGACAGGACTGGGACACTGACTGGGGTCCAGACACAGAAACTGGAAGATGGGCTGAGTCTGGACGCGGGACACTGGAGGGTTCAGACACAGAAACTGGAAGATGGGCTGAGTCTGGACGCGGGACACTGGAGGGTTCAGGGTGGCCTGGATCCAGAAGGATGGAGGGGGCAGCGTAGTCTGGACTGGGTGGTGGACAGAGAGAGGTTGGGAGAGAGATTAGGACAGTGAAGGAGTGTCTGTGATGGTGTTGACCTTTGCCCCCTGCCCCCCAGGTCTTCCAAGGCTGTGGCAGCCCCCGCCCGGCCCCGGCTCGCACTCGGCGCTCACCAGGCAGGGAAGAAGGCAAAAGGAGGTTCAGGACCTACAGCCCCGAGGAGAAACCTACCACTGCGGCAGGCACCAACCTGGACAGACTGGTGAGTCGGAGTGGGGGGCAGAGACGGCGAGGGGCCTGGGGGAGTCAGGCTGGGTGGTGGATTAAAGGAAGGAGAGATATGAAGGCATTATGTAGAGACCTGCAGGTTTGCACAGTTACGTGTCTGCAAAAAGCTGTAATAAAAGAGCAAGCAGACTCTGATGGAGGCGCCCCCTGGTGTTGAGGAGTGATTATCTCTGCCTTGCCCCCCCAGGTGGCGGACCTGAAGGAACGACTGCGCCCCATGAAGAGGTTCTGGGTCACCCTCCCCCACACGCTCTGCAACGACGAAAAGATGGCTGCCGACGTCACCAATGAGGAGAAGTGCTGGAATGGACAGGGGAGGGGCCGGTGAGAGCTGGGACTAGACAGGGAAGAGGAGAGGAGGGGGCCCTGTGGAGGAGGCCAGGAGATGGGGGATAGGGAGAAGGAAATGAGGGTGGGAAGGGTCCCTCAGTGGGATTAACTGAGGCCGTCATCGATGCAACAATACCTTCTGTATCCCATGTGAGGGGCCCGTATGTGGTTAGCCAGTTGGAACAAAGAGCCCGCCCCTGAAACTTCCTGTGACGCCTGTGATTGGCTGCTGCTGGAAGCACTGAGTGGGTGTGTCTGAGTACCTGAGGCCACACCCACATCCCCTGGTACTGTGTGCATACATGTGTGCAGTGGTTTCATGATGATAATGTGCAGGACGCAGTGTGTATACAGAGGTGTTACTTGCGTGTATCTTCAGGTATCTGCCCGACGTGACTGGGGATGGCCTTGTCAACCAGATCAACAACCCGGAAGTGGAAGTGGACATCGCTCGCCCTGATGTGAAGACTCGGCAGCAGATCATGGAGCTGCGCGTGGCCACCAACCGACTCAGACAGGCCCAGAGCGGCCATGACTCTGACTTCCAGGACTCCAGTAAGTGATACCCACTGCCAGTGAAACAGACCAGCCCAGTGAGACAGACCAGCACTCAGACCAGCACAGTGAAGTTGAACGGTACAGTGAGACAGCCCAGCACACAGATCTCCCTCTGACTTTCTGTCCTATCTCTCTCCAGGTGAGGATGGCAGTGGTTCTGGAACAGGAGAGCGGTACAGTGAGGACTGGCCTGGTTATGGGCCCAACACCTACAACTATGGCAAGCCCCCTCGCACTGATCCCGGCCAGAGCAAACCCCCCCGCACACGTGACAGGCCCAAGTGGACCCGGCCCAACCAGCACCAGAACTCGGGCAGCCGGGTGAAAGCGACAGGAGCTGGGCCACCCACAGTACAGTCCACTCTTATCCTCCCTTTTGCCTGCTCACTGTTTCTCCTGGGTGCCCCCTTGTGGTGGTAGGGCCTAACTGTGCCCTTCATCCTGATCAACACTGTGTCCAAACAGTCTGATAACACCCGCTGTCAGTGTTTCTGAACTATAGCCAGGGCTCTTCATTTTCGGTCTTACTTCTCCCCAGTCTACCTGCCTATAACACTGTGATCTCGGTCCAAGAGTCGCCTTCTTTTCTTGTCACCAGACAAAAAGCCTGTAGGAGAAGGAGCTGTCTGTATTTTTGTGGTCCGGTTTAAGTGCCGGTATTTGACAAGACCAGGGCACTTCCTGCTTGGTGGAGCTGAGGTGATCATGGCTGAGCTGTGAACTTGGCGTGGCGAGACCAAGGACACTGTTGCCAGCCACCGCAGGAAGTTGCCTTGTCCTGTGTTGTAATTAGGCTCAGTACAATTGGATTTCTTCATTTCTCCCCAAGCAGCAGTCGAAATCACCCTTTCTGTCTGACAGGCATGCAACATGCCATTCCTTCCCGTCCGAACGGTGAAAGTGAGGCCCGAGTAAAACAGTGGCGTGGTGACCTCTAGTGGTAGAAAAGGGAGCTGCTGCTTTCTCAAAACGAGGTGTGAGCCTTTTCAGCCTTCTGCACCTTTGTTTTCTCCAAATTCACAGGACTCGTATGCTTTGTGACTGCCAGTTGAGTGGCATCCTGTTTTACCGCCCCTGAAATAGTAGGGAAGAACTCAGAGGGGCCACACAAGTGAATCACCTGTCTGAGCGATCCCAGGTTTGGGTCTGGATCGTGGTCATGTCACTAGCCGACTACGACTGGGGCTTCCCAAGTAGTGGCACACGACCGAGCAGAGGGTGGGGTCAGTCAGACAGGGCTCTCTGAAACAGGTGATGCTCCTGTCCTCCAGCCAGCACTGATCCTCCAGTACAGTCGGGTCTGTCTACTGCTTGAAGAGGCGAGTAACTGGAAGGTGGGTGGGGCAGAGGAGTCTTCCCACACGTCTCCCGTGTGCAGTCACAGGGCTTGTAGAAGTAAAAAACACACAGCTGGCGATTCCACCAGTGGGCGAATCGGGTGGCGGACACCACAATAACAGCTGGCCATTCTGAGTTCTGTATACACCGAATGAGTGCAGATCAAACCAACGAGAGCACTGGACACGCAGAGGCACAGCAAGAGATATGACTAGACGTCCATTTTTCATTCTGCTGGTGGGGTGGGGGTGGGGGAGCATCTGAACATTAAATAAGAATAACTTTGTTCTTTGTAAATTGGACAGTTGTCAGTTCTTACTGATTGTGAACTGAATTGTAACCAGTCTGATTACAACAACAACAGTGAAATCCGGTGCAGTGCAGGGCAGGTAGGCAGAAGAGACAGACAGGCACTTGCACACACTGGGCCTTGCCATCTGTACTTAATCACTCCAATAGCACATTTCAGTCTTTGGACTGAAAAGTCAGCTGTTTTAGCATTAAAATGGGACTTTCAAGATCCAGTGGTGCAGGAGTGCTCTTCATATCCACGAGCAGCAGGAAGCGTTTCTGCTCCTGTTTATAAAGACTGAGCAGGTCTGGTTTAGGAGAAAGGGTAAGACCCAGAATGAAGGGCCTTCATCTTTTTGACCCATGTTTCGACTTGCCTAGTGCACCAGCAGGTCATGACCCACACAGTGAATCATGCGACCCTGGCTGGAGAACTTAAACCAGCTGGAATGACGAATGTCAAGTCTTAAGGATTTCGGAAAGACCCATCTCTGTGCATGGGAACTGGCCTGTCTGCCCCTTTACCATTTCCCAGCTTTCCTTCATTCCTGGGCCCTGATTCCCAGGAAGCGCAGTGCAGTCGGAGCCCAGCTTGACTTATGAAAAGAGCTCTCGTCTGGATTCTTGGAAGGCACTTCTCCTTAGTCTGAGTTGGCCCTCAAAACCAACGATGTGGAAGGAAGATTCTGGGAATCTCCTCCTGCGAATACAATTTCACCGAATCCTCTTGGTCCCTGTCAACACCTGCCAGCCTCAGTGGTTAGAAAGCAGAGATTTGGAAGTGACATTGAGGGAGAGGCAGCATGGGGCGGGAGCTGGTGTTGAAACCTCCACCGGAACGGGGCGGCCCCACGTCTGCGGATTGGGCTCGTTGATGAGACCGGGGGCTGAGGGACGATCATGAATACCTGCATGAGGGGGTGGGCTCTTAAGGAAGGAGGGGTTGAACACCCCTTGCCCGGTGACTGGTCCCTTGCAAGGTCCAATATTTGTTGAGATCCTGTTGCTGGGATTCTCGGGCATGAGCCTTTAACCCCCCGAATCCAGAGTACAGCTCCACTCATGATGTCTGTGCCATTTTAAACCTCAGCAGCTCCACTCCATCCTCTGACCACACGCACTGCGTACACAGAGAGATCAAGACCTGTCTATCAGAGAGCAGAGTGCAATGATCGTCCGTGTCATGCCCCACCACAGCAGGACTCCGATTTTTATTTATTAATCTATTTATAATTATTTATTGGCTGTAACAGAGCAGCTGGACCAGATTCCTGCTGGGGTAGGAAAGGGTTTTTGGGGAAAGAGGAATGTGGGGATCTTCGGCTGGGATGAAGGGACTGGGGGGATTCGCTGAGAGAAAACAAAGTTTGTAGGGCAAAGGGGCACAGGGTCCCAGCTGGAGCGGGTTTGTGTGTGTGCATGTGTGTTTGTGGCTGCACTTGTGTGTTTTGGTGTGTCTGGGAGGCAGGGGAGGGCGTTCACTCCCCTTTAAGGTGCTCTTGTGTTCCCGCCCCTTTTCAGGGAAAGGGGTGTGGCTTAGGCAGAGGGGGAGGGGCTGGCGGCTGCAGCATCCTCCTCTCTGTGCTGCACAGAGCTGAGCCACTGATTGTATTTCTTTAACACTTGTATGTATTCTGGGACTTGGGTGGAGGAGAAGGTGGGGGGACATTGGGCTTTAGCACAGGGGCTCCTCACTCCAGTCCTGGGGATCCCAAAACCTACTGTTTTCAATCCAGCTCTCACATACATCATTAATTGATGTGCAAATAGGGTGACGAGCAAATAGGGTGTCCTTGACTCAAGTGAGAGATTGGTTTGAATTCTCCCCAAGTCAGATTGCACTCTTCATGCCTGTGTGTTATTTTAGATTCTGATCCTGTTCTGCACACTGATCGGCTGACATGAACACATCTTGTAATGCAACGAACACGCTGGCTTCTGCTATGAAACACAAGTTACACATGGATTAAATACTCCGCAGATGCACATTGTGGCTCCATGTGAAGATGAATATGTGCAGGTCTAGTGTCTTTGGACAAAGACCGTTCCTCTCCTCGGAACTCTTTGGGTTTTGGTCTGTGACCTGTCACGAGTCGACCTTTGACCCCGTGCATTTCTGTTGCAGTTTTACGGAGAAAAAAAAGCCGCTCGTAAAGCATCCCATCAGGCACCTCATTAGTGCAATTAAGCGTCCACTTAGGAAAGAGCTGGTCTGAGAGGGGTTCCCCAGGACCAGGGAAGACCCCCTGTGCTAGCCCCTGGGGGTGGGGATTCTCGTGGGAGGGAAGGGTGGACGGGGGGGTGTGCATGAGACAGTGCTGTGTATGGAAACCCTGCAGCCCCATTCTTACAGTAGTGTTCAGACACGCTGAGCTATGTGTCCTACGCTCTAGGGGCAGGGGGGCCCATGAGGCACAGACAGGGGCTCCACGCCATGTGACAGCTAGCAGCGACCTGGGAAGCCCTCTTACTTGACGTGTGAGAGTTGTCTGCTGTCTCTGCCACACGGTGCAGTTACCTCCTTAACAGCAGCAGTTCCCTGCCCCCGGCCCTGAAGGAGCACCGCCTGCTGGTCTTCACTCCAGCTGAGCTCTGCTCCTCCAGCACTGCTGCCTTCACTCATCTGCTTGAGCCTCTAGACTTTTCTTTTACGTGTTCCTTCAGTTTGTTCACAGGTGTCTGATTTACTGTGAGCATATCAGACACACCCACAGTGGGTGTGCGTATATCAGAAACAACCACAGTGGGAGTTGTTCTTTATCAGACATACCCACAATGAGCCTTTCTTCTGCAGCTCAAATCATATACATGTTCAGCAAACACAGCTCAATGAGGGCAGTTCTGAAAACAGTGCAGAATACAGATTTCAAATCCTATCTGGCCTCGTAAGAGCTAAGAGCAAATCTACAATCCTACCCCAGTCAGAGCCAGTGATGAAGATCTCGAATGGAGAGCAGACCAGAAGATTTGGGGTTCCTACAGGACCGGGGCAGCGAACCGTGACCGTGTGTGCGGAGGTGCAGGCTCTTCCTGTGCTGCACTGCGGGGCTCAGAGACTCGAGCTTACACAGCTTCCTTCTACCTCGGCACAGGATCTCCTCTTATCGATTGCTTTTCCTGTGTGGTTCAGACGGGGCACAGACAGGGAGAGGGGACCTGGGTGCATGTTACTGTGAAGGAGCCTCAGCGGACAGGAGTTTGCAAAGACTCTGCCCTTTTCGGGCCCAGCCGTTGGCCCGTTTGCACTGGTGTGCGAGTCAGTCTTTGAGCCCCGCGTGTGAGGAGGGTACCCTCTGATTGGACCTCGCAGTGGTCGACCCCCCCCCCCCCAAAATAAAAAAACACTACACAGCAGCTGTATTCCAGTATTGTAACAAGCAGCACAATTTTGTAACACGTTGTTTTATAGAATTTTTGTAAGAACAAAATGCTTTTTTTTCAGAAGCCTTGTTGATGTGAAGCCAATGATTAAAACCTGTTTTTCTTCTTACCCTGCTGAGTTGTTTGGCTTGTTCTGTAGCAGTTCGCTCACCAATGCAGACGTCCTCAGAAAAGGCTGGTAGGAAGAAGAAATTTGGGAAAAGAAATGCAAATCTGATCCCCCTTCCTTCCCAGTGACCCCATTCCCAGCAGGTAACACTGTGATCCGTGACTTCGATCTTGTCCACTGTCTGTCCGGGGGGTGAGGAAGAGGAACAGACTCCCAGCCACTTCTCCTTGACTCCAGAGGACATACGACAGACCAGACCTTCAGAGGTCATATGAACCCCATCACTTTGCTAAAGGAGCAGTTAACTATAAAACAGCTCGCAGTCAAGTTGGAACTCTTTTATTTCAACACTTAATTAAATAATTAGGACAAATTTAGATAGAACTAGATCCTCCAGGAACTGGGTTTAAGACCCCAGTAAATCTCAGAAGACATTACAGTCTCCAACACTACAGTCTTCATCAATGTCACAGTGGGATAGGAAAGTGACCTGATTCTAGCAGCTGTGGGAATTCTGGGATTATATTTATTTAAGGGAAGAATGTCTAATTCTTGAGTGTTACTCATAGTGCAGTAGAAAGTGTATCTCCCTGCTGGCAGTAGGAGCACAGCCTGTCCTCACATTGTGTCCAGTTTCTGTCCCATCTGTGATCATTGAGCTTTCCTTTCTGGACAGCCCAGTTTGCCTGTGTCCAGTTTCTCTGTCCAGTCTGTGGTCCCTGAGCCTGTCCTCTCTGGACAGCGATGTCTGTCTGTGTCCAGTTTCTCTGTCCAGGAATCAGTGCAGTGCAATTGTAATACAATGAGCAATGTATCACCGAGTCGGTGGGACAGCTTTCTGTCAGCCCAGTCCTCTATATCTCCTTCAGGCTTCTCTTCACTTCTCTTCATCATTAAAAAAGGTCAGTAGCTAATTAGGTAATTAACGAACGCATGTTGTCTTTTTGTTTGCTTATATGCTCTCCAGTGTGCATTCCTAGACAGACTGCTAGCAAAGTATAACGCTGGACACTCGTCCTATTTTGTGTGTGTGAGCCTGTTGCAAACCTGGCCAAGGCCACCCTGGGCCAGAGCGCTGAGGAGTGTGATGACAGTGACAGTGTAGCCACTAGGGGTCGCTACAAGCACCTTTCATCCAGATCATCAGCCAATAGATAGCGGCACAGTGGCTCAGTTGTGAGTAGTGCTCCCTTGCAATGCTGGGGCCCTGCCTTCATTTCCTAGGGTGGTGTCTGCGTGGAGTTTGTATGTTCTCCTCGTGTTCGCATGGGTTTCCTCCAGGTGCTCCGGAGGTTTTTATCAAAATAACCTTTCACAAACACATCTCACAGTAGTAAACTTTCTAACAGATAATCAGACTCACATGACATAAAAACTTCCTCACTCAGGTGATTGTCTGTTATCAATCAGGGCAAGTGGATGGATTTACACAATGAAAGAGTCCCTCCAAGCCCTACCACTTGCTTTTGGCCATGCCATTTCCCTGTCCCGGCTCTGAAACTGCGGAGCAGGAGCTCAAGGAACAGGGATTTCCCAAAGTCCCTTCCAGCGCTCCGGAGGATTTGCTGGTAGATTAAGTGGCATATGGGAAAAATGCCCCTGGTGGGAATGTGTGTGTCCTGTGGTGGACTGGCGTCCCATCCAGGGTGTACCCTGCCTTGTACCCATTGCTTACTGTGTTAGGCTTCAGCTTCCCCGTGACCCTAGACTGGATAAGGCAGATTCAAAAATGGATGGATCTGTCAGGAGAATGTGGGAACTGTACATGGAGTTTGTTACAGGGCAGAGTCACCAGCTGTGATATTAGGCTGCACTGAAGAGAAGTGATAAGCTGGATGTGTGGGAGTTTAAGTGAGCTGGAAGGAGGCCAGAAACGTTCCTGGAATTTCACTGCACAGCACAGCATTGAGCACAGAAATCCTCAGCAGCCATCTGTCCCATGGGGAGGCTGTATACGCACTGGAGGTGCATTTAAAACTAAGACCAGGAGGCACGTCTGTCCACCAAGGGCGGTGGGAGTGTGGAACAAGCCATATTTTGTAAACGGATACTTTGACTTCCACTCAGAAACGCCAGGATGAGATCCTGGGATCAATCACCAGATAACAAACAAAAGGGCCGGATGGTTGCCTCTCATTTGCCACCCGTCTCATGTTCTTGCACAAGGACACTGGGGAGTTCCTCCAGCAACCTTGTTGTGAAAGGCGCTAGAGAACAATAAATGGAATTGAATTGAGAGTTCGACTGGGGAACTGCCCGTCTCATCTGCTCATTTCAAAGTCCGTACTGCTCATCACCGCTCAAATCCAATGAAAAACAACAAAGCACATTAGAGTGCAGAGAATCACATAAAGAAGAGTGAAAGCACCCATTGCCGCTGAAGCCCTGATGTCTTCTGGGGGCAGCGACACCAGACCCTGTCACCCCCAGAGTGCTGATGAAACACAGGGGAGACACAGTAACCAGAATCAGCTGAACAGAGGTCCCATGGAGGGGAGCGGACAGACAACACATCGACCGGGGAGACAAGCCACGTAGAGCTCTGACCATCCAATCAAATCAAATCAAAGTTTATTTATCAAATGCACAACACTACAGCGTGCAGCAGTAGTTGCTGGCAATGATTTATTTTTTCTGTGAGCTCACAAAAATCACAAAAATGAGGTTATGAAAATAAGGTTACATAATAGATGTAATAGAAATTGAAACTCAATGAGTAGAGCTGCTATGTGTCCATGGTGCATGCAATATACACAAGTAGTGCAGTTATGCTGAATACAGTGAAATCTGTGTGTCCATGTAGCCATTACAGGTGATTCGCATAATCAACTGAAAGCCAGAACAGGAGAGACACAGTAATATTACAACTCACAAAGCGTTGTATTAGTGGGTCCTGCCAGTGGGTTTTATCACAATTATTAAAAACAACGATCCTGTTTTGTTGGAGACAGAGACATGGACAAAGTCTCTATGGGAGCAGGGCTGGAGGTGTCTCTGCTGGAGACCCCGTACTGACCGGACCGGGGCTGGAGACTCCTGTACTGACTGGACCGGGTCTCTTCAGTACCTGGGTTGAAGACTCTTATCATAATCTGCACATGTGAGAAATCGTTTCGGGCTGACGGCTGTATCACATCAGTCTTGTGTACTCTGTCCTCCTGTTCATTAGTGCAATGCGTGCGCACTCGCCTCGGTAGCCCTAAATAGAAGTTTCACCTCCGGAAATATCAGAGGAGGCAGAGAACAGTCTAACGTTTAATTAAAAAAATATATATTTACATAAAATTAACGTGTAACAGACTGCGAGCGTGCTACGGAAACCCCTAAATACTGAAGGCTTCATTAACCCTCAGAACCGGGGGAGCATTTTTTATTTAGGCACTGAAAATTCAGCCAACTTTAGGCACCCGTCCGTTCGCTCCCTCACAGGTACCTACAGTCACACCAACTCTATCCAACAAACCATTTTCAATGCATTAATTTCTGCACCTCGGGTTAAAAACATCTATCCAAAGACACTAAGATCGTATTCCGAAGTGCGTAAACAAATTCGTGCGCTGTAATTGGGTGCTGCTGCTGTCCATCAAGAGGCAATACCGCCTCTCTTCCCGAACGGTAAATTTTGACTGGCTGTTGCGAGAAGAGTAAATAATAATACAGTTTTGTAGGGCGATGATGTCACGGGAGTCGAGGCGGGAACCTTTGCTTTCCTTAGGCGAGCGAACAGCTCTCCCACCGGAAGGCTCCGATTGGTCGGCGGCGCTGTCGTTCCAGGCGAGCGGTTGGCTAACGCGGCTGTCCGTCAGTGACGGCGGGCGGGGCCAGGGCGGCTGTCAGGTTGTCGAGCCGTTCTTCCGTCTGCTGGCTGCGGAAACGAGAGAAAGAGAGAGAGAGGGGAGGAGGGGAACAACCCGAGCGAGCGAGTGTGTAAGTCTGCGAGCGACAACGGCAGCGAAGGAGGAGGGCGCATTCTTAAAATAATCAAGAATAAAAATACTCAGCCGGTCGGCGATGGGGGACAAGGCGGGAACCAGGTAAGGGAGACATTTCCTACCCCTGCAGCGCTTCGTGCGCCGAGCCGCCGCCGTGGAGCTGGAGGGGAGTTTAAATCGCCAGGGCGGGTGCGACGGTGCGCTTCGCGGTGGTACTGCCGTGGACGTTCAAGCGAAAGAAGGCAACCCCCCCGCGCGCGCACACCCTCGAGAAAGGGAGTGAAAATGAGCCGCTGAGATTCCTGTTCGCTAGCGCGCTGCGGAAGAGACGTGAACACGACACGGTAGCCGTGGGTGGCTGGTGTGGCGCGGAATCCTTAATAATAACATTAATAATGTCGCTGCCCGCCCGTGTCTCCTCTGGACTGTGTCCCTCACAGCGCCTCCGTCCTGCTGCCGTTGGGGTCGTGGCTCTCTAGGTGAGGAGCTGCGTGTTTTTTTTTGTGTGTCACCTGCGTGTCTGTGGCGAGACTGGCTGGCGTGACCTCAAGCAAACGCCTTCGTCCGTGTTCCTCCAGCGCCTGGGAAGATAGAGTATCGGCTACGTGGGGTGGAAATGTGAAAGGTTGGGTTCCCGGTGCTGGTGGCCGCGCTGTGCCCGTCTCCTTGTGATCTCCTTGCGATGTCGTGACGTGGTGTTTGACGTGTAGTTTACATTTCGATACCCACGCACACGGACATGTATGCGGGAGTGTGCGTCTTTATAAACAGGCGCATGCAGCTGCACATCCCTCGGCAAGGGGCGGTTCTGTTTAGGGGTTTTGTTTTCCTCTCTACGACGGAAATCGCTCCGGGTCCGTGTCTCGCAAGAGAGGAACCAACTATAAAAACCCGGCAGCTCCAGCAGTCTGCGCTGCGCCCGGGGCTGCCTGGCGTCCGGACGTGCCGCCCGAGAGAGATGGGGACCGTGTGTATCTGTCTCTCCCCCGCATCCGCAGTATTCACCTCATCAGAGAAAATTGGATTCTCTTCTGCATTTCCCTCTAGTGTTCTTGCGTGTCCGTGACGGGGATGGAAAGGAGGGTAGAGAGAGGTGGCCTCTTTCTCTCCAGGCGCGTCCGTGAGGGTCTGTGGAAAGGTCTGCTGTTCTTCGGGTTACCAGCGGTCCAGCTGTGAGGACCGCTCAGGAGGACCCGTGAGATAGGGGCACAGTCGGCCCCGGGTGGGGGATGAGATCGCTGGGGTCTCTGCTCTTCCTCGTGCGTGAAGAGGCTGTGGATCCGGTCCGGGAGGTTTGGGCACAGCCTCGGTGCTCCGGGCCGGAGAGCAGGGGATGTTCCTCATCTTTCCCAGGAAGGGCTCGGGGGAGAGGGCCGTGGGTGTGTATATGGGGGGGTGTCTGTGGTTTTCCAGGCCCGGCTCACCTGGCTGCTGATTTGAATTCCAAATCAAGTTTGCGGAGGAGGGAAAGATCCACCTGTGAAGTAGGAGGCAGAGTAGATGCTGGGGGCTGTGATGAGGAAAGTGCTATCAGAGCTTCCCCAGTACTGGTCTGGGGGGGTCAGTGTGTCTGCAGGGTGTCCAGTCCTGGTCTGGGGGGGTCAGTGTGTCTGCAGGGTGTCCAGTCCTGGTCCTGGAGGGTCAGTGTGTCTGCAGGGTGTCCAGTCCTGGTCCTGGAGGGTCAGTGTGTCTGCAGGGTGTCCAGTCCTGGTCCTG